TTTCCTTTTTGGGGGTTTTTTTCCCTTAAAAAAAAACCAAAAAAAAAAAAAAAAAGGGAAGGTGGTTTTCCAGATAGATTAACGCATAAAGCAGTCACTAGCTGAATGTCATAAAAACTACAGCAGCATAGAATAGCAGAGATTAAGAGCCAGATTTAAATCATGCAACAGTCCAGTTAATATCAATGTCTAATTAAGAAATGCATAAGAAGTCTGTAATGTTGATTTGATGGAGAAAAACTTTAATAGGGTTCCTTTGGAATTGTCCATTTCAATTGCTGTTGTATACTTTTAATGGCTGTCCTACCCAGCCTTTTGTGTTAGCAGGAATCATCCTTAAATTAAAATCAAGGCCTAAAATGGAACACAGGTAGACACATTAGCTTGTCTAGTGAGCAGTCGTGTGAGCTCATGCTGACATTGCAGTACCAATTAGGAAACAAATCTCTTCAAGTCTGGTGTGGAAAAATTATTTGCCATACACTTAAATAATACAATACTAACCCATTTCTTCACTTTTTCTAATCCTGCCAAAATCCCAGTTAATTCATACATTAAAAAAACCGGGAGCTATTCATGAATTACTCTACTTAATTGGTAAGCTTTTCTATAAAGATATATACTAGCATGATGAAGAGGTGGAGTTTCCCATTGCTGACAACAGGATTTGGAGCACCCAGTTCCCTGTTATTGTCAAGGAATGTATCACAGGGTAATTCAATCTCTTAAACCTCTTGAATCTATCTATAGGTGTGGTTCTTGCAGTACCCACAGATAATGATGGATGTATAGCCCACAACTATGGATACAGCTTTTATAGATGAGTCTTGAAAGGCGATGGTCTACCGAAACTGTTAAACTATGGGGTACTGCATAACTAGGGTCTCGTGCACTAATCCACATAGCAAAGAGTGGGGGAGGACTGGCACTGGATTAAAACAGCAGTGTTATTTGTTGCTGCCACTTTTGTTTTTGTCCCAACATATCCAGAGGGAATTCTCTCAAGGGTCCAGGAGGACTGCAAACTCAAAATAACCCCTGTGACCTCAGAAGCAAGCACACTAGGGAGTCATTTTAGAGTTCATTAGAACACATTAAACATTGACCATGGTAAAACACCACACATTATTCCCTCTGTCTTTCTCGTCCCTTCCAATACACAGTCTCTCCAGAGACCTTTCAGGATTATATCATTAAACTCTGCCCCTTCACTTAGCAAATAAAAAGGAGAAAAGAATGGAGAAAAAATTAGAGCAACATACAACATTGTAAGTCCTATAGCCTGGTCACCATTACTGCTGGAGGCATTGTTGTCTAAATCCACTGTCGGTATAGGGCCATATAAATCAACATGAATAGATCACTTTAAAAAGTGATACCATACCATGGCAGTTATGATCAGCTGAGGGTCTTTCAGCTAACAGCCCCTTGATTGAAATGAGTGGGAATTACTGGCATGGCATTCTTGATGGGCATTTCCAGTTCAATCACTTTCCCTGTCCTGGGTCTAACAAAGTCCCAGTTTTCTGACCTTCAGGACATGAGGCAAATTGGCTGGGTTTTTTTCCTCCTCAGCTTTGCATGAATTGGGAGTAGTGGTGGGTAAAGATATTTTTAACAATTGCTCAAAATAAAGCACTGCCTTTAGAAGTGATTTTGAGGGCAAGTTTTGACATACTTGTACAATTCTTTTAAATCAAAACAGGTATCTGAGCCTTTTAGCAATAATACATGAGAGTGAAGTAAATATTGGGGGGATCCCCCAAACTGCTCAGCTTCCAGACTTCTTTAACTCCATCCAACTGGATAAGGAAACAGTCTTCTTTTAAATGATGTTCCAGCCTTTTTGCATGGATTCCCAGTGAAAAGATTAAGATAAATCAATATATCAGGTACCTAGTGACAGTAAATCTAGCATGCATTCTCAGTAGGAGGGCAGTAAAGCACTGGAACGGGCTGCCCAGAGAGGTGACGGGATCTCCATCCTTGGAGGTTTTCAAGACCCGGCTAGACAAAGCCTTGGCTGGGATCATCTACTTGGGGCTGGTCCTGCTTTGAGCAGGGGGTTGGACTAGATGTGACCTCCTGAGGTCCCTTCCAACCCTCATTTTCTATGAGTCTAAGACAGCACTGTCTTTACTAACACTGAATTGTCCAGAGGACAACGTAAGCCAGATAGTGATGCAAGAGAAAAATGAGAAGTAACTCCATGGAGTACATGAGGATATGCTGTGGGATGTGAAAATGGAGATTTTCATGGACCAATCTACTTTGTATATTTGTCAAGAGACCCACAATGCTTAGTTTGGGTAAAAGAAGGAAAAAAGTAATTTTAGTGATATTGTGCAGTGATACGGAGTAATCTTCTGCCTTACAACAGATCGGTTCTACCTTGACGCAGCTTTCCACTACTGTTATTCCATTACCTGTCTTCAATTTTGTTCTCTCTCCCTCATCTTTCTTTCATTTATACCTTCCTTGTCTTGTCTGCATCCATGCCTCCCCTTCTCATCATACACCCCCTCTCATTCCCAGCTATACAGAGCTTGCAATATGGCTTTCCATCTTTGTATGCATGTACATCTGTTTCTATTTTAAACTCCTCTGGACAGGGACTTGTGTTTATAGAGTGCTTAGTGCTGGACCGTGGCTGGTGGGTTCTGCTCCTGACTTGGGTCTCTGCGTGGCCTCACAACAGGAGGAGCAGAGGTGCTCAGTTCTCTTTTGTGGCAGAGTTTATAAATTGCAGCTGGAAAAGCACATCCATGCCTTTCCATTGTAACGCCACGCTTAAATTTGAGGAGGCACCGGCTACATTGGAAAACGAAACAACCCATTCCAAAAAACTTGGCTTTATCCTGGAGCAACAAATTCAAGGGGTGAAGGAATAACTTAGCTTTTATGCACAAATGTAACTTAACCTCTCTGGTGTGAGGGCCAGTCAGGGTGCCAGTTTTAAGGATCAGAATATGTTCCATCACCTTCTTTGACTTTTCAAATAAGATAATAGCCCTACCAGTTCCCGTTTCCATGTAGGAATACCCCCATGCAGCTTCTACTCGAGTCCCAGGCAGGTTGGAGTGGTTGCCATCAGTTGATCATTGTACAGCTGGCAGGAAGAGATGAAACTGCTCATTTCCATCTGTGACATTTCTCAGCCAGGAAGAAAGCTACAAGGCATCTGACTGTATGCTGGGAGGCATCAGAGCAGCCACCTGTTAGAGAGCCTGATGAAGAAAATTTGGTAAAATGTAGAGCTGCGAAGGACTGCTGGGAGTGAAATAAACTGATAAAGGAGAAGGGGATTGTGCCGTCTTACTACCATCCACAATTTGCAGCTCTCAGATGAGGTCAGGACCCATGAGGACACAAACAAATACAATCTTATATGTGAAGCAGATTACGAGACGTGCATTGGAGGTGTGGATAGCACAGATCACTACTAGTCAGAGCACTGAAGAGACTCCACTGTTAAAAAAGGGATTTTGAACACTGGAAGTCCATGTGGCCCCATTAGCAATGCTATTGTTTTTAGTCAGAATATAGCACCTTAAAGGGTATTGTTATTTCTGGACTTCCTAATCCATGTCATTTGTAACCATCTATTGGAGAAGGTAGACCTGCCTGACTTTGATGGGGAAAGTCACAGAACTTTTGAGTCTGTTACAAGGAAACCACTTTTCCCTACACCAGTGGTTTTCAACCATTTTTTCATTTGTGGACCCTAAAAAATTTCAAATGGAGGTGCGGACCCCTCTGGGCAGTTTGAATGGAGGTATGGACCCCTCTGAATTGCAAGTGTGGGTAGTCACATACTTTTGATTGACCACAATCATCTTTCACAGGCCCCTTAAACAGTCTGCAGACCACAGATGGAAAACCAGTGTCCTA